CTCAATGCGTACACCAGAGGGTTGACAAATGAGTTGGAATAATTGAGAAACACTACAATTTTATAATAGAAATATTTTCGAGGTATAGAGACTTCAAGAACAAAGATTAAAAAGTTGACAATGATTAAAGGTAAGTAGGTCAACACAGCAAGGACTGAAACAAGGAGCAAGGTTTTTGTTAAGCGCTTGTTCAAGTTGACTCTGTTTTGACTGTTCTGCCGTTGTGAAGCGATCTTTCCTTGCTTAAACTTCTTAAAAATACCAATGTTACAGGCACACACGATAAGCAGACAAATCAATTCGAATGTCGTGGCAAGAGGATACGCATTTTGCAGTGAAAGCTGAGCAAACTGCATCATTGCGAACATAGCGCAAGAAACAAGAATGACGGAAGCCCAGATCATAATGGCAACGATACGGTATGTCCGCCGCGACAATGCCCGATACTTCAGTGGCCAAAAGATAGCGTAAACTCTTTCACAGGATATACAGACGGCGAAAATTAACGAGGAATGCATCAGAATTGTATCACTGACGCTCCAAAAACTCTCAAAGACATCTCGATGTGAACTTGATCGCCAAAGCTGATAGTCAGGTCCGATCGATAAATAAGTGAACAAAGGCAGAGACACAGCTCCTAACAACACATCAGCAAACGCCATATTGAAAACTAGATAAAAGCTCTTCTTGCGTTCCTTCTTCTCCAGTGCAAAGAAGGCAATTGTGAGCAAGTTTCCCCCGATAATTAGGACAGCTTCTAGCACGAAAGCAACGCTCACTGCTAATCCTTCTGTTCGGTTAGGAACGTCCAGCGCAGGTGACGAAGGCATTATAATTGTTTTTTGATTTTTGGCAAAGGCTAAAGTGGCCAGCACGATCGGAAACTTCTAGTAGTTGTAACCTTTTGAGTTTTTTGCCGATGCGTGTGAGATTTCTTCATGAGGTGAATACAACTACCACTGGACAACATTTATAACACATTTACATGCCTAATTTGAACTTCCTACTGGGCAGGTGGTTGTAACCGGCGGACGTTTATTGTGCTTCTTATATTTTGGGGACTTATCTTTGCTTTGCCGACCTACTTCCCTTTAGTCATTGCTTACCTTTTAGGGGCTGTTTACAAAGAGTCGGGAAGATCCTAGGGGACGGAACAACCTTCCTATTTATCACGACTAAGAGACGGGAATAGGTGTGCAGCTCGAACTGAGGAAGCTGAATGTTTAATGCCGTCCAAATAACATACAAAGTTCAACATCACAACTAAAGAATGGTATACAAATATTCCTAAGTAAAGTCAGTCAGGCTAAACTATTCACGTGCGCCGCATGATACGAAAACCCAAAAACCCAATGGGAAAAAATTGGGAACGTATTCCCCAACCGATGCGGTCGCACAACGTAAAAAGTCAATCGATAGATGAATAAAGTAAGATATAAAAATAAAAGTTGATGGTTCGAGAGCTGAGATGAATACAGAACAACTGTCAAAACCTTATATACCTAATAACAATAGAGTCAATTAACGCCATAGCGGCTCACGTTCGTTCATACCGGATAGGAAAGTATTTACATTCTCTGTCACTGCCACTACGTTTAGCTCCGCCGAAAGAACATTTTTCGTTGGGTTTACAATAACAAAAATGCTCGCCCCTTATTACCGTGATTACCCACTGAGCGTCCTACCACCATTTCTGTCTGGTTTGTCTCTAGTATTAGGATCGTCCTAGCGAAGGCAGTTTACACAGTGCTAGGATCTTCAAGCCTCTCAGGAAGATCCTAGCTCTATGGGCAAGTACAACCTCTTTGCATTTAAACTGAATTCAGAAAGCATATGGCGCTAGGATGATCCGCCCTCTAGGATAGAATCTTCCTTCCTCCATGTCTGAAACAGCCCCTTCATCTTTGTTCGGGTCTTGAAGTCACGACCATACCTAGAGGAAATTTGTTTCATAATACATGTATTACAGAGGTAGCCAACGACTAAATTCTACCAAATCTGCCCGAAGAAGAAAACTGACTTGAAATTTCTATAGCTCAGGTTTTAGTTCAAATTAATAGTTTCTAAGATCGAGAGAGTAAAGACACTAGCAATACAAATGTCAGTGGTAGAGTCACGGCACATTAAAAGGGAAAAAAAGGTTCCGGTTCACCTGCATCTTTGTTTTGTCTGACAGGAAATTATGGGGCACGGCCGGAAGTTCTAAATCTTTTCTCCAATAAGCATTTTTATTTTTAACTGCCTCTTCGGTTTCCCGAATCTCTATTTTCAGCCATTATCACAACATTTTTTTAAAAATTGTTGATTTTTGAACGACGGGTAACAGAAAAAGCATGTTGCCTTTTGTAAGGAACTGTATTGAAACCATCCGGAGGAGGACTAGTGTGACTAGTGTGCTTCTCAGTTTCTTTTTTTTCTTTCGAGTCTTTATCTAGGCCGATCGTAGGAGGGGAAACAGCGAAAAAGTCGGCCGGTGTAAATATCAGAAGAGCTGGTACTAAAAGCATGAATGAAAGTTTGAATTTTTATTGGCTGTCCAATGAACATGGTGACATAATACAACTGTACCTAGTTATTTAAATAGACCTGTTTAGGATGCAACATTTGTCGGATGATCTCTATCCACTAACAGCCGCAGGTGCAGAAATTTTAGAACGCTGACTGGATAGCAGCAGCTCTTAAATTTAACTTTAATGCAGTTTTATTGTCACTAGTTTTTGTTTGTTTAAGAAAACGTGTTTTTTTTTTCATTAGTGTTAGAGAGAAATATCATCGGTCTCATGCGATTTACTGTCAGTACAAAAGTCATCGTTCATGGTTTACCTAAATGTCTCATTTTGCTTGGCAAAAACAATTTACCCGTGATAAAATAAACATTGCAGTTTACATGACAATAAGTGACCATGTCTTTTCTCCAGAAAACAGTTTCCGTGCTTTTTTATTTAGTAAACTGAATTTGAATTTGAATGAAGGACAGTCGAACCCCGCTTTGCGAACACCTGCTTAATAAGGACACTTTGTTATTACGAACACTTCTCCTTGTCCCTACACTTAACATTTTCTCTAAATTTAACCCGCTTAATACGGACACCCAGTTAATTAATACGGACACTTTCTGTGGACCCCTTAGTGTCCGCATTAACGTCTTTTGAACAGTTAGTAGAGGAGTCGCCTGGTTATGAAAGCCGGCGAACATGAAAGTTGAAAACAACGGTGCTGTAGTTTATGTTGGAAGCTCCTTGACAGTACAAAATCCTTTGTTTCTTGTTCACAAATTGTGATTGAATAAATTAATGCGATGTTTCTATTGGTCAGTAAGTTCAAAATGATAGGAATGCTATCGAACGTTGTGCACTGTCAGATCTAAAAAAGCTAACAAAAACATAACAAAGGAGTTTAACGGGTTTCATAACCATTCCACTTTAATAACTATGTTCTGCTTTGACGTTTTCTTCAGAGAGTTGCAAATGCCCCACGATGAGACCAGCAGATTCATCATTCCTAAGCCCCATTTCTGGTTCGCATGTGAATGATTCTAAACAAAAATTTTTATAAATCCTGAGTGCTGATACCTTCGCTAATACCGATTAATATCGCCCTGGTGTGTGTAACGATATGAAGTTCCAGATCTCTTACATTTACCGCCGGTTTCGCATATGCGCGTTCGGCATGACCAGATCATAGTTCGTTTCGTGTTGTAGTTTTTTACCTGATTATTACCGTATGGATGTCTGCAAAACCTATCGTTTTGTAGTTCTTGACCTGAATATCACCGTATGGATATCAGCAAACGTGATTTTAGTAGTACTGTCCAATCAAACCCCGTTAATACGGATACTGAGGGGACCATGGAAAGTGTCCGAGTTAACGGGGTGTCCGTATTAAGCGGGTGTCCGTAAAGTGAGGTTTCTCTGTACTTTGTCCGTCGAATGGTAGATCCCCGAGTTCACCCCTACGCGTCCACGAGGAGAGAACCCTGGGACTAGTTTGTGTGCACAAGCAGATCAGGACAGTCTCAAGGACTGCATAGAAAGTCCACATTGTGAATGGCTTGAAGTCCGGAGTAATGTCATAAGTAAGGCCCGGTTCAGACGCCTAACTTTTCATGAACCGAACCTTACATTGAAAAGTTCGGCGTCTGAATCAATTAGGAACGCCTTCTTTTCGTTTCAAGGCTTTGACTCAGACGCCGAACTTTTCATGTACCGAACCTAATGCATAAATTGTTGTAACGTTCTTTTGTAAGCAGTTTGACCGAAATGAGCATTTTTTGCCTTTTCAGCTAACTTCAGCTGCAATTAAGATCGGCGTCTGAATCAATTCAACCGGTCTAAATCATTTGGGTCGCCTTTGGGTTCAGCTCAGTCGACTTTGGAATATGATCTTCTTAAATGGGACCGTTGTTGACAGTGATTTAGAAAACCCCTGAGGAAGTCACACTGCGCGAGCTTAACCGTTTGGATTGCGTAGAATGAGGAACGGATGGTAGTCTACAAGAGCCATGTTTACGCCCAGAAAAATGCAATCGATATCCTTACAGTTAGACATGGTTGGAGATCGATCTCAAACTCAATGCTGCTGTGTCCGAACACGCTAAAGACGCAGGTCACTCCATCGACTGTGCCAGTGTAAATTTATTGGCTGGTAAAACCACCTACTTTCACGCGAGATTTGCTAGGCCATAAATATTCACACTCGGCGTGAGGCAATGAGCAGTGATCAGGGCTTCCACCTTCCGCCAATTAATGGAACAATTTTTCTGTAGAGCTTTTTAAAACGAGGCTGCGAATAACAGCAAACGTCACTGATGCAGAGATCCGGATGAGGTCCGAAAGTTTTGTGTAACTTCCAAGAATTTTGTGATGAAGGATATTTCTCTGTGAAATCGTAATGTTCAACAGATAATTCTTCATTCCTTCAGGGATAAAAAATTTGATAGGGGTGAATATGTGCAGAGCTCCCGCTGTATTAGACTTTATATCCATGATTAGGTGACTAGGCTAACTATGCCGCCCCGCGCTCGCAATCAAAGTTTTCAACTGGTAATCTGTTTGGGAAGCCAAGGATCCAACGATGGTCACTGGACGGCTGTCAGAGTTCCGTTTTTGAAAGAAAGCCTTAAGGGCGGGCTTGAATTGAGGGTTCATCATTCCATAAACCACAGGATTCAAACAACAAGTTAGAAATACCAGATAACTTGAGATCATAAGCGGCAAATCCAAACCTCGTTTTCCAGCAGCAAATATTATAATAAGCACTGCTTTTGGGAGCCAACAGAGCACCACAACGCACGCCATCCCGAGTGTTGTATGAATACACATATTTTCAGCGTTGTGGGCATTTTGGCAGGCAGCTCGATTAGCCCGCGTGCAGATCTGAATCCTGTTTTTACGAACGGTATTGTATATTTTATAGTAACACCAGCAAATGATGTAGGGAGACGGCTGCGTTATAACCAGAAATGCCATGTAGGACAAATTCAGAGAATCAAAAGACCAGTCGTATGCACAAAGACCGGACTGTGAGTCGTACATATACTCACCCCACCCGTAAAGGGGAGGGCTAGAGATAGCCAGTGGAACGATCCAACACAGAGCAATCAAAAGTTGAAGCCTGTTTTTCTTCCTTTCAAAAACGCTGGAAAAAAGTTGAGGTTTTACAACCTTAAAATACCTGCTGACAGCGATGAGCAAAAGCGAATAAAGGGTCGCGTTGGCCATGGCAACGAAGAGACACCCTGAAATGCTACAGATCACTTTTCCAAAGATCCAGCGTCCCTTCACCAAGTTCGTTATCCAAAGGGGCATGATAAAAAGTGTCTCCACCAAATCGATGACACACAAGTTGGCTATGATCTTGTTAATGAAGGTTTTGAGGTTGGAGTTCCTCCTGATGACATAAAGAACGATCGAGTTGGTAAGAACGGAGGCAGCAAAGACGAAAGTAGCAAAAAATGCCTCGAAAGCAATTTCGACATTTTTTCGCCCAAGTGGGTCACCGTTTAAAGTTGCATTAGAGCTTTGCTCATCTCCCATCGTTAAGTGTTAGATTTCCTGTAAACAAATAATGAGAATCGAAAACATTACTGAATAGACAAAGGACAAGATTCAACTTTAAAAACATGATAGAATTTATCATTTCAGTTCTTATAGAGCAAATGATATTTTTACCTGTAAAGCTATTTGTAAACGGACACAACAACTCCCACCATTGTTGGGCCAACAATGTTGGGAGTTGCTGCGTCCGTGTTAGCAGTGGTGTGCAAACGGATGCAGCACTCCCAAAAATGTTGGCACATGCAGTGCATCGTGGGATGGATACAACCCATAAGACTTTGTAAACCGCGTGTGATGCACGTGCGTGGTCCCAACAATGTTGGAAGATCTGTGCAAACTGATCTAACATTTTTGTGCTACGTTTTGGCGATCACAGAACAAAAGAAATGTTATGAGTTGTTGGCTCCAAAGTTTGGCTGGTTTCAAACTTTGCGCAATGTTGGGAGTTACTGGTCAACAATGTTGCGTCCGTTTGCGGGGGCTTAAGATATAAGCCATACAAGAATCTCAACCTCAGAATGGACAAAAAAATGAATAAATGATAGCCATTTTGCGGGATCCTTAAATAATTTTCAGCAAAGGCCTAGGTACAAGGTACATACTAGGTATACGGGTCGCTAGCGACAGATAACAACTGCTACAGTAGAACTCCGGTTAAAGGGACAGGTTCAAGGTTCAGTGCATGCTCATTTATCAAAATGCTGTTTTTCTTTTCTGCCGGGAATAACGCAAGCAATATTAATATGTTGTCAAATAACCAATCTGCACACTCCCCTGGCAGTCACTTGCACTTGATCAACTTAAATATTTGCAAGTAGCTGTAAATTAATCAACCATGGAGCTCGGTCGAAGGCGAGAACCTCTAGATCTAGAGATAATCAAGGGCACGTTTCCCCGAGGCCGGAAGATTTTGAAATATGGGATCTCTGAGGTAGCATTTCCAGCAATTTCTAAAAGACTAAAATCATTGATCAGATTTTTAACTTCAACGTTGGATGCATCTCTAGATGGGTGTCAACTTTAGAGAAAATATTATGCTGACGATTAAGGTATTCGATGCTCTGATATCCCCCATACTTCTCTACGGAAGTGAAATTTGGGGTGTTGACTGTAACGACCAAATAGAAAAAGATCCCGCAGAACTAGTTAAGTTTTGGATAACTCTAACCAAACACCCAAAACACCAATTATCACAGGTGGTTTATAATGATATGAAGTCGAGAGTGAATAAGAAATTATGGAGCCAAAAAATCAAACGCGCATTAGACCAAATAGGGCTGGGATACCTCTGGACAAAAGCACATGAAAATGACATAGGAATCTTGAACATTATCAAACAAAGACTGAAAGACATCGAATTACAAAGATGGTTAAGTGACGTAAACAATGACGTAAGAAAAGACGCCAACCAGAAGAACAAAATAAGAACCTTCCGAAAATTTAAATAATAGAAAACTATAAATATAAAGATTATCTCCGTCGGGTCACCAACATCCGACACCGGATAACTCTAACTAAACTCCGTCTAAGTAATCACAAATTGGCGATAGAGACAGGTCGGTATGTAAGACCTTATAAGAAACCGGAAGAGAGGATCTGTCCTATCTGTAAAAAAGACGTAGAAGAAGAAATACACTTTTTAACTCTGTGCCCTGCGTATCAAGAAAAAAGAAGTACTTTATTTGAATAGTTAAACAAAGACTACAGAATATCAGTAAACAGAATGGCACCAGATGATGTTTTTCGGTTGTTAATAAACCCTCTAAGCAAGAACAAACCAGTGCAAAAGTTATTTGCAAAATACGTATTCGACTGCTGAGTAAAGAAGATCATTAGTTCTTTAGGTTAACATTGATTATAGTTCCACTAGTGTGCAATTGTGTTATGATTTTTAATTATTTGGATAAAGTCGATGTACATGCTGTAGGACTGTATAAGACTCCAAATAAAGCATTGTCTTGTCTTGTCTTGTCTTGTCTAATAATTTCTAATTATCTGTCTCAGATATTATTCACAGTCTCGATATTGGTATATTTTACCCGCTGTTTTCATTTATGCCGGTCCGAGTAAGTAAACGGTTTGATAAGCGAACGATGGAAGGCAAACAATCTTCTGACGGTAAATACCGCAGTTTTTTGGCGAATTCGAAAATTTTTCATCGAAAACAGAAAAATTTCAGTGATAAACACTGACAAAGAGATCTCTGCATCATCCCCAAAAACTACCTCGTCATATTGTGGTTAACATTCAAAATGTTTTCTGGTGTCGTTTCCAGCGTGACTATGAGGTACGACAGGTGCCACTTGAACTAAAGAAGACAGCTCTCATACCTTGGCCTCCAGCATACATTCTCTTCTAAAAGCTTTTCTGTTATCTGACCGAATGCGACGGAACGTATTGCGTACAGCCTTTACTGTACTTGGAGAGTTTTACAATTAAGAAGATTTTTGAAAAATATGCCTCTAGGTAGCAACTACTAAAGGCAACTGTTAAGACATGAAAATTTACACTTTTGACTCAGGGTTTTCACACAAAACGCGATTCTTATTGTAGCGTTGTTGTCTTGCGGCTTTATTGGCTTTAGCAACACTAACCAAATTTTGCCGGATCATCGCTCCTGAATAGTGGAAACCATGCACCCAAATAATAAACTGTCTAGCTTCTTCTTTTGGATCTCCTTATGAGGACTTCATTCAAAGCTTACCTTGTCAGTTGGCGATAGCGAGAGTCCCTGGCGTTGTTAAAACAGAGCCAAATTGAGTTGCTTATTACACTCAAGCAACGAGGAAATTTTGTTAATAGCAAGAGTCAATGACCAAAACATGATTAAATATTCAAAGACTAAAGGCCGGCTGTGAATGCATCCTGCATGTTTCTGCAACCGCATGTCAATATTGCAATGTTCCAGCGGCCTCCGGATCGACCTTGATCAACTACACTCTTTTTTTAAATTTTATCCGCTTTAGATATTAAAATATTTAACGTACCGGAGAACAATTATTCTTTTTGTCAGTTTTTTGTATTCAGGTGTTCAAGGATGCCAATAAATCAGTTAAATTCGACAGGTCTTAGGAGTAACGACATGATATGTGAAGCTGACAATCAAACTTTCAGAAAAATTCCAAATTTTTTTACTTTTATTGAGTAAACGTCAAGTTAAGCGAATAAGCACGGAACGAAGCTGCAAGCCTCTAGAGGACCTCATTGTCTGCTCGCCTGAAAAGTTCTTATAACTTTAAAGTCTCTGATAGGTTAATGTTTTCAGCCGCACTCAACCACTCCGCGGTTTTCTTTATAACACATAACCCAAGGGAAATTGAAGAGTACTATCATGATATTAATGAAAGATACTGTTTAACAGAGTTTCGATCTCGTGTAAAAAACTGCGAAGGAAAGCAGCGAGAAAGCTATGAAATATCTTGAAAAGTGAGGGGCTGCGGTTTTATCCGGAAGCACCAATTAAGGAACCGACGAAGCGGATTCCAGCCTTCCTCCCGCACGACACTAAAATGCGATGGACAATAAAAATATTCCTCCCCGGATGTACGAACTGTCAACTAAAGTTTAAAGAAAAACCTCTCTTTCGGAAAGCAAATTTTGTGCACAATTTTGTTTTCCTCTTTAGCCACTTAAGATAGAAAAATTTCGATATTTATGACCTCAGTTGCGAAACTAAAAATGATTAAAAATAATGTTACCTAACCAAACCTAACCTTTGGTCAAAAATTCACAAAATGTTAAAACGAAATGTAATTGTTCGATTTTTTTTTAACTTCATTTATGTTTTCTGGAAAAAAAAGTCTTATTGAATAAATAAATGTACTTAGCATCGTACATGTTTTACTTGCAATACTGATTATATTTTAGCACTTTTCACAATGAAGCAAAGCCCATTGTCTTCCCAAGACATTTTAAAAATTATTGATATCATGAGTGTCATTTCATTTCCATAATAGACAGAGGAACTATTACTTTTAGACCATAAATTTAGTGTCTTCAGCTGGATCTCTGATTGTCTTTGGCAAATATTATCCTCTGATATCCTTCCGGAACTCCCATAAACAATTATTAATAAGAAATGTTCAAACAATGCCAACCGGTACTATCTATAAGAGGCGGGGAAATGCTTAATTATTTAAGAGGAGATAAGGCGACTATTTTCATGGGGTCATTTTTTAAATATAATGCGATGGTCTCAGAAAATATTCACTCGGTAGAAGACACTTACCACTTGAAAGCTGAACAAAATCGGCTCTCGTTTTCACCGACGACCTTCAATTCTTCAACAGGAAATCGATATGGATCGGTCCGTTGCGCATGCTGCATAATTTTATATATACTTATACTGATACAAAATGAATCTGTTACTATAAATGTGTAAGTTATTACAAAATGCGTCGTTACTACAATATGCAATTGAAAACACTCCTACACTATGAAGTTTCCTTGCCAATAGGAAAGTGGAACAGAAAATTCGCTATGAGTCGAAGAAGAAAAAAAAAGTTAACTTTTAAGTTTCTTTATGGTGGCTTATCTATTTTATAACACCGGTGAAATGCTTCTAGCTAAGTGGTTGCTCATTTAATACCAGGAACGCAAAACTTCTATGAAAAGTCTCTAGCGACGTTTTCGGGGCCCATTTGTAATTTTTCTCGCCCACGTGGAAGCTACTCTCCACATATTCGTGCTTCCGCAGAATGATATACGAAAAAAGAAAATTAGATTTCGTCAAAACGTTAAAAATATCATCCTCCCGTTCATTTTTTCTGCTTAAATATTTTGTGGTTCCAGGAACGCTCTAATAGCTGACCCTTTCACGTTATTTTCTTTCAAGTTTTGATACGCCAGTATAGCGTAAGTGAAAATCCATCGAAACCGCTGGAAACAGCGGCTTACGATTGTGATTAGTTTAAATGTCATCTTCCTATCGAGAGATATTGCTTTACAAAGTCGCGAAATTTTATAGACGTTTGTATGGT